AACTGTATTAAATGATCGAGGCATTATGAGGTTATTACCCACTGTCCTAGATTGATCTTAGACAACTTGATTGAAACTTAACCAGTTTTTAAGTTTATGAACGATCAAATCTTATTGCCGTCCACCTGTCTCCCATGACTTCTCTAAAATTGTTTCAGATCCTTGAGAACATGACGACCGATGACCTGGTGCACATCACCTTTTACGGACAGGGCATCAGCCTGATTGTGGGCTCTTGTATAGGGAGCATGGTGGCCGACATGTTTGGTAGGAGACGTCTCCTGTACATCTCTCTGGCAGGGATGCTCACACTGCACTGCCTCGTGGCCCTGTCTATTTCATGGATAATGTTCATTTTTTTGAGGATGCTCGCCGTGGCATTTGCAGGTGAGCATGTTACAGTGATGGTCATTTCACTTGCCAGATTTTTTAGAAAAAGTTATATATATATAGAGAGATTATAAGAGGTAATAAAAATAAAATGAAATACAAAATTCAGGTTCGGACATTACAAATTAATTAATAGTTAATTATATTTGAACAATAAATTAATGCTAAATAATGGATACTTTAACTTTGCACTACTGTAACTTTGCATTTATTGTTACTTTAAACTTACTGTAACTTTACTTTCACTGTAACTTTAAATTTACTGTAAATTTACATTTACTGTAGCTTTGCATTTACTGTAACTTTACATTTACTGTAACTTTGCATTTACTGTCACTTTAATTTTACTGTAACTTTATATTTATTGTAAATTTACATTTACTGTAAATTTAAATTTACTGTAACTTTAAACTTACTGTAACATTACAATTGCTTTAACTGTGCATTTACTGTAATGTTAGATGTACTGTCACTTTACATTCATTGTAACTTGAAAGGTAACAAAGCTAAACAAATAATTGGAAGAAACAAAAGTTAACCTCATCTTTATCGAATGCAAACCAGGAACATTTACTTTCATTCACTCCGAATCCTGCACACGGGTGTCCTCAAAGGGGGATAATGTGGTCGTCACTCCCAGAAACCCCCCACCCCCACCCCAGGGGGAGGGGGGTTATACTAACATCTTACAAAAGTGTTTTTTTTTTTTCTTATATATTTCATACATTGATAATCGGTTCATAATCAAATGTTACACCGTTCTTTGAAGCATGTATGTTTGACCATGATGGCGTTCACTGCTTGACCAGAAATGAAATGTTTTCCCATCTTTGATTCATTTTCTTCAAGTAAACAATTTAAATTCAAGAGGGCAATTTAAATACCGGCACATTGCGCATTTTTTGTGTGTAAAACATGCTACACTTGATAAAGGTATGTTTTTTTTTCTGTTGGCCAGGGGAAACTTTTATTAATTGAATGTAGCAAAAGACATTTGCCACGTCCAACTATAAGATTAAAATTAATGTCTAATAACTCAAAACGAATTCTGTGCAGTCCTGTATCCCATATATGCCCACAACCAGTCATAACTAATTGTTTGCACTCCTGTTTTACCCCATACATGCCAAAACCCATAATGTATGCAGACCTGTAGCACACCTGTAGCAACAACCAATCAGAACTAAATGTATGCCACCCAGTTTTAGCACACACATGACCGAAACAAACTCTATACAGTCCTCAAGTATATCTATACCCGAAACCAATCAGAACTAACTGCATGCAGTCCTGTTTTGGCGTATACATTACCAAAATAAATCAAAACTAATTGTAAGCAGTCCTATTTTAGCACATACATGCCCAAGACAAAATGTATGCTGTCCTGTTTTAGCACATACATGCCCAAGATAAAATGTATGCTCTCCTGTTTTAGCACATACATGCCCAAAACAAAATGTATGCTGTCCTGTTTTAGCACATGCATGCCCAAAATAAAATGTATGCTCTCCTGTTTTAGCACATACATGCCCAAAATAAAATGTATGCTGTCCTGTTTTAGCACATACATGCCCAAAACAAAATGTATGCTGTCCTGTTTTAGCACATACATGCCCAAAACAAAATGTATGCTGTCCTGTTTTAGCACATACATGCCCAAAACAAAATGTATGCTGTCCTGTTTTAGCACATACATGCCAAAAACAAAATGTATGCTGTCCTGTTTTAGCACATACATGCCGAAAACAAAATAAATGCTGTCCTGTTTTAGCACATACATGCCCAAAACAAAATGTATGCTGTCCTGTTTTAGCACATACATGCCCAAAACAAAATGTATGCTGTCCTGTCTTAGCACATATGTACCCAAAACAAAATGTATGCTATCCAGTTTCAGCACATACATGCCCAAAACAAAATGTATGCTGTCCTGTTTTAGCACATACATGCCCACAACAAAATGTATGCTGTCCTTTTAGCACATACATGCCCAAAACAAAATGTATGCTGTCCTGTTTTAGCACATACATGCCCAAAACAAAATGTATGCTGTCCTGTTTTAGCACATACATGCCCAAAACAAAATGTATGCTGTCCTGTTTTAGCACATACATGCCCAAAACAAAATGGTATGCTGTCCTGTTTTAGCACATACATGCCCAAAACAAAATGTATGCTGTCCTGTTTTAGCACATACATGCCCAAAACAAAATGTATGCTGTCCTGTTTTAGCACATACATGCCCAAAACAAAATGCATGCTGTCCTATTTTAGCACATATGTACCCAAAACAAAATCCCCCCTCCCCCACTTCCCCCCCCCCCTCGAAAAAAAGGAACAAAAATTGAAATGATCGCTATTGATTGGTAGGCCAAACTTCTGCTCCAATTTTTGCCAAGGCCGGCGGTGATATCCCGTGAAGGCGGTGATAAAATCACTCTCGTGACAGTTCTTGTCCAGTTTCCATTAACCCATTCACAACGCCCCCAACTCTAAAGAAAATAAATAGTTTGGAGAAATTCTTCAAGTAAGGAGAATCGTGGAGTTCCATAAACAAAAGCCAATGCCACTTTATGGAAGTAATAAGGCTTAATTGCTTTACAGCAAGCAGTCAAACGGTGTATTTTTACACCATGTGTTTATTACGTAGGATATATCACGGCTGTTATGGATATTACAGCTTTTTTGGCTATAATGACTAGTATTGCTGTTATGGCTATTATTTCTATTACAGTCGAACCCACTTGTCTCGCTCTCGGTTAACCCGTCAACCCGGTTATGTCGACGTTTTTGAAATGGAACCGCCAAATCATCTCTTTGTTTCAGCATTTTTTCTTCGGTTATGTCGATTCTTTTATGTCGGCGAACCCTGACATCTCGAGCACAAAAGGCGGCAAAATTTGCCACTTAACCACCGTTATCTGGATCACCCATGTCTAATCGCTGACTTTTGAAAATTATAAAGAACAGAAACGTGGCTACTTCAAACTGTAGTAAGTGAAATGAAATGACAACATTGTCTTCCGCACAATTAACTTGACACAGCACAAAGCGAGGAGCGAGAGGCTTGCAAACAAAAGAGAGAGGTCGCAGTACCGGTACTATTTATAGCGACCCCACTTGTCGCTTAATAGGGTTTCACGCGTTATTACACGTTGATTTTTTTTTTTTTAAATCCCAGAATCCGTATTTGAATAAACTGAACTGGCGAATCTGGAGCGAGACAAAATAAAAACTCGCGAACTTCGGAGCTGAAACATATATACCCTCACTACTCCGGAATTCCTGGATAATGCTGAAAAGTGGCTCCCCACATACTTCTTCTTCTATATCTTACGGGCCCACGATCAATTTATTGATCATTTTGGCTCGTATGCATGTAGATGGGATTTGCAATGTTTCTGTTCCTGGTGTTGATGAGGAAATTTCACTGATTTCCAGTGCCACTGTGTGAGGGAATCATGCACTAGGGGTTTGAAGGCTTGTGTTGTTAGCAAACATGTATTTATATTTTTATAGCATGCCGATCGCTTCATCAAATTAATCGCGGTAACGCTGTTGTGTAAAAAAAAAACAACTCCAAAAACACGTCATGTACATTCTCATTTCTAAGCGCACAAAGAAATTTTAGGCGCATTTAAAAATATTGCCGCCATATTGGTTTTCGTTTATCTCGATCATCGGTTACCTAAGGCTCATTTTGGCAAACCACAAAGACATCGACATAACCGGGTTCTACTGTATTTCTATTATGGCTCTTCTTGCTATTATTGCTGTTATGGTTGTTTTTGCTATTTTGTCTATTATAGCTATTATGGCTTTTATGACTCTTATTGCAATAGGGTTATTATTGTTCTTATTGCTATTATTTCTATTATTGCTTTCATGTCTGTTATTGCTATTATGGATACTATGGATATTATGGCTATATTGGCTATCAATTTGTAAATTATTTATATCATTAAAGATCTGTTGATTCATTATCAACATTTAGTTAATGTTATTTTATTTTAATAATAGTTAACTTTTTATAATACATCAAAACAGTATCTGCATATTCACTCATGAGATCATTTTCCAGGTATACAGCAAACCACAAGATAATGTATTTTTTTTTAATACTTACTTTGAAATCCAATTCCTACGAAAAAAAAAGTTCAATAAAAATATTAAGAAAAAGATGACGATGTCAAAATATATTAAAACAAAAATGAATTTAAAAAAGAAAAAAAAGCTGATCTATAACCATTTATATCTATACCTCTGAATAGCCCCAACATTTTCTATATCTATATGTCTGTATAACCCAAGTGCTAGTATATCGATATGTCTGTATACCGCAGGTGATGTTATACCTATATGTATGCATACCCCAGTTGCTATTATATCTATATGTTTGTATACCCCAGATGCTATTATATCTATATGTCTGCATACCCCAGGAGCGATTATATCTATATTTCTGCATCCCCCATGTGCTTTTCTATTTTTATGCCTATATACACCAGGTGCCAATATATAAATATGTCTGTATATCCCATGTGACATTATAAATATATATATGTCTTTATACCCGAAGTGACATTATATCTATATGTGTGTATACCCCAGGTGCTACTATGGTGGTCAGCTCGGTGATTGTGATAGAATTCCTGGGTCCAGACTATCGAGACGCCTGCACGTGCTCCTGTTTCTGGACCATAGGGGCCATCGTGCTGTCCATGGAGACACTAGTGACGCTACACTGGCGATGGCTCGCCATTCTATCCGGTGGAATTTGCCTTCCTTTAATCGGTACCTATTTGTAAGTGAGGATCATCTCGCACTTGACCTGAATAATCTCTTTCATAGCTTCAAGTTTAACTCATTTTTGACAGCAGCGAAATATCATTTAGTTTTCAATTATTCTTTGCGACTAGAATAGCTTTTACTTGATAAAATCATCTTATTCACATAAACAACAAATGATAGATACATACACAACATTTGACATATCAAGTTGACCCATTTTCTACACACAAAAACAACACACATCCATTGTTATTCAAGCCTCTGTTTTGATTCCAACTGCTTAAAATGAATGCATGTAGCACTTGCTTTTTTTCGATGTATTCTTCAGTAACCAGCGTGGAATCGATTCCATCAAATAAGCTAACAATCGATACTTTAAATTCATTCATTTTGAGCGTCATTTCTACACCTCAGCCCCCCTCCCCCATTGTTTGCATGCGTTAAAAAAGTCATTAGTGATTGATCGCTTTGATTCAACGTAAAACACACCAGACGCCCCCACACGGCGCCCTAAAAGGAAATCCGTCTCACCCCATTCCATTGATCTTTTCTTCCCCCCAGCACTTCCATGGAGTCCGTCAGATGGCTCCAGTGTCAGCATCGGTTTACGGAAGCGGAAGCTGGTTTCCGCGAGGTCGTGTCAGTCAACTCGTCGGCCGTGCCGGACATCATGTCTCTGCTGGACGAGTCGCGCGCTTGCATCGTTCACAACATGCATCAGAAGAAGTTCACCTTCCTCGATCTTTTTCACTCCCTGGACTCTGCCAAGTGGACCGCCGCTTTGATATACACGTGGTGAGCTTTTGGGATAAGGCTCTGATTAGATCATTGCAATCGTTCTGTTTGATGCGGAGAGAAAAACAAACAAACCAACAACACTTGTTCTAAAGAAGCTTGTTACTGACATCACAGAATTAGTTATGAAATAAGTAAAGGGCATTCGTTTTTGGGCGACGTTCAAATTTTTGTAAAATAGAGCAACTTGCCCGTGATTTCCGCCTCATTTGAATAAGTTTGGGTTGGTTCCAAAGCCATGTTTGCTGTTTCTAAACTTGAATCCAGTACGTTAAGGAGGGTTAATTAAAACAAACCCAATAATATAGTTTAAAAAAAAATAAAATGTATACTTCAACTCTGAATAATTTCTTTCCTCTCAGTACACTGGTTACGTCATACGATCCTTGTTTACTTAGCCAAACCATGACAACCACAAATGACATGAAAGCGGAAATGATATTCAACAACTCATTATGCTTTTTTTTTCTCTCGGATAATATTTGTGTTCCCTTCGTAAAATTATCCCACAAAGTTGCGTTACTATGATTTAAGAGACATTAAAATAGAGAATGTTCAAATCAGACGCATTTACTAGAAGGTAGAAAATTTTTGTGAAGGCACTCAATGGAGTATACAGGTACAATATTCTGAGGTTTTTTTTAGGTTTCGTATTTTTTGTTGTTGTTGACATTTTTTTCGATAACTAAGCAAAATGATATATTTTTTAAATAACGCAACGGCTTTTGGTGCGTAATATTTTCTTTTCTTTTTTGGAAAATGCAATCGTCTCATTTTAAATATGGTGTCATAAATATTCGTTTAAAAGGTTGTTGGGTCATCAGAATATTAATATAGTTCATGGGCGTGAAAGAAAAAAATGTGCGGTGACGTATCATGGGCGGAAGGGGTGTGGCAAAAATTGGGATTCTTAAATGTGCATTACTTGAATTCATGTTTTGTCCACTAACTTCTGTAGATGGGAAGTTCACGCATTGTTGTCGTCAATATTTGGCGAGCTATAACTATTCTTAAACATTAATTGAATGAATAAATTACGTTGCCATTTTCCTCTGGCCCAAATTAAAGGTATCACTCTATTATCTTTGTACCCTTGGCTAAGACCAGAAGCTTCACCTTTCATGATGCGTCTCTCAGAATATATTCTGAACCCAATTATGTTAAGCTGATCTAGAAGAAGGGGGAAAAAAATCAATTTCCTTCATTTCGTAACCTTCTCACAGATACTCGAGGAACCATTGCTCATCTAACACATTACAATGGCAGTGTTCTATCACGTTTTAAATATCCTGTCTCCTCGTGCGGTTACGAAACCGGCAATTGAATTGGAGCATTGTGAGAAATAGAAGAAACTCTGCTGTATCACAATTTATCTTAAAGGAGTTTCTTACTGAAAGGATTTCGGCTCCGCAGTGCAACTCCATAGATCACCGAGTGTGGGACGTGTCTCGGTCTCTGCGGTCTGGCTCGTTAACTAGACTAGTCAATGGAGGATATCACCGGAAGTGACGGATATATCGGCAGGATGGCCAACAAAATTGTAGGGTTGTTAATGATGTCTTGTTATGATCATTTCTCCTCGAACCCCTTTCATGTTTTTTTTTAATATTCCATTCTCTCTCCCAACTATAACCTTAGCTTCACTCCTACCCTCACTGCGCTCAATTGAGAATCTCGAAATGTAATCGTGGAGACCCATTCGTTAAATTTTGTAGTATTTGATTTGGACTTACAGCTTTATGATGATAACATGCCCGTTAAATAATTGTTCGGTGATTATTTGGGTCAATCGTAAAGCTTGTAAAAAAAAAAAATTAAGACATCAATTTCCTTTCTGACACCCAACTAATGTCCGTACATATAAATACAATATAAATTACTGTTTACAATACTATTGATATTTATATTTTATGCATGTTTTCGTTTTGTAATAACCTTCTCAGTATGGTGTCGGCCTGTGTCTACTTCTGTCTACTGCTGAGGGTCAAGCAAATCACAGGGCTCGTCCACTTTGATGTCTTCCTTCCGTTTATACTTGACCTGCCCTTAACGTGGTCAGTCATTGTTGTCAACAGGTGGTAAGTGACTAGAGCAAAAACCAACCTTAAACTTGAACGCCTGTAGCGAGAATGCATGGGTGTGTAAGAGTGAGAACTGAGATAGAATGAAATGAGAACATGAGTTAGGATGGGATGAGAACATGAGATAGGATGGAGTAAGAACATGAGATATGATGGGATGAGAACATGAGATAGGATGGAGTGAGAACATGAGGTAGGATGGAGTGATAACATGAAATACGATGGAGTGAGAACATGAGATAGGATGGAGTGAGAACAAGAGATTTGATGGTATGAGAACAAGAGATATGATGGAGTGAGAACATGAGTTAGGATGGAATGAGAACATGAGATAGGATGGATTGAGAACATGAGATAGGATGGAGTGAGAACATGAGTTAGGATGGGATGAGAACAAGAGATATGATGGAGTGAGAACATGAGTTAGGATGGAATGAGAACATGAGATAGGATGGATTGAGAACATGAGATAGGATGGAATGAGAACATGAGATAGGATGGATTGAGAACATGAGATAGGATGGAGTGAGAACATGAGTTAGGATGGGATGAGAACAAGAGATATGATGGAGTGAGATTATGAGTTAGGATAGAGTGAGAATATAAGATAGGATGGGTGAGAACATGAGATAGGATAGAGTGAGAACATGAGATAGGATGGAGTGAGAACATGAGATAGGATGTTGTGAGAGCATGAGATTGGATGGAGTGAGAGCATGAGTTAGGATGAAGTGAAAACATGAGATAATAAGGAGTAAGAACATGAGATAGCATGTAGTGAGAACATGAGATAGGATCGAGTGAGAACATGAGATAGGATGGAGTGAGAACATGAGATAAGATTAAATGAGAACATGAGATAATAAGGATTGAGATTATGAGTTAGGATGAAGTGAGAACATGAGATAATAATGAGTGGAACGTGAGTTATGATAGAGTGAGAATATAAGATAGGATGGGATGAGAAAATGAGGTAGGATGGGATGAGAACATGAGATAGGATGTAGTGAGAACATGAGATAGGATGAAGTGAGCATGATCATTAAGACCCAGAATGATTTATATATTGATCGTGGACCCTCAAAATAAAGAAGTCAAAATAAAGAAGAAGAAGATAAAATCTTGATAATTACCTTTCACACATGCTCACACAATCTAGTTTAATAATGCTAATTTTCCTGTTTTCTGAGAAGCTATTCATTTGTTTCAGCCTGGGCAGACGCTGGTGTCTGTTCCTGTACTCAGTTGCGTCAGGCTTCGCCCTGCTCTCTGTCTTAATCCTACACGTGACGGGCAACGTGGCACACATGCCGTCTTTGGTGACTGGACTGGCCTTGTTTGGCAAGATTGGGGTCACGGCGTCCTTGTCACTCATCTTTCTGGTGGCCATTGAGACATTTCCAACGGTGACCAGGTCAGTTTATTGCCTTGTGTCTTTCAGCGGGATTCACTGGCAGTATAATTGTATCGATAAACTTTTAGATGTACATTATAACATGGAAAACAAATTAATAATTAGGCTTATCAGAGACGTGATCGGAAATTTATTTTAAAAATATAAATTTAGTTTTCTTAAAAATATGTTACACAACTAAGTGGTTTAATTAATTTCTTACTGCACACATCTCCAATTTCGACGTTCACTTATTATTTAAAATTAATGAAGGACTGCATTCAAGCTGTGGGATGGAAATAGTAGAACAAGGTATGTGGAACCTTGAATCGACAGAGAGGAGAGTATGACAACGTGTCGGCCTTTCTCAGCCGACGAGACCATATTTTCACAAGAAATAGCAACCAGTTAAGAACTTTCGTGATCGCCATGGTTACTGCCTGAAGTTGGATTTTTCAGAACCAAGATTAGAGGCATCAAAAACATAATTTATCTAATGTTACTATGAAAAGGAAAAAAATCGTTATGGTAAAAAATATTTTGGAGGTATAAAAATTGTAAAAAATAAGAAAGGAAGTCCTGGGGAATTGGGGATCATGAATCGGAGTGTTTTTTTTCTCTTTTTTTTTTTATTAATTTCGTATATTTTTTTTTAACTATTATAGATTTTGAGTTAATACAAGTCTTTCTCTTGAATACAGGTGCATGGGCCTAGCTGTTGCCATATCTGCTGCCTCGGGTGGTTCAATGCTGTCCACGGCGTTAATATTCCTCGTAAGTGTCGGCGTCATCTTACATTGCTCAAACTGTATTTTTTTTTTTTTAAAGATAATCTTAAGTATAGTGGGACGTCCTTCGCTTGTTATAATTTTTGTGTGCGAGGAAACATTCTTCAACGTTTAATGTTGTTTCCTTGAGGTTTTCTTCAGCATTGACACGGGCTCAGATCTTGTAATCATAATGCACAGCTTTTTTTTTTTACTATGTCACTTTGCTAGAATAAACTGGCGTTACAACATACCTCACACTTTAGTACATAACCTTGTCTTTTATTATGTTTTTTGAAATATATTATTTTAAATATTAAAGTATTGCATTGAAAATATTATTTTTCATGTTTACAATTGATAAGAGAGCAGAAATATAGTATGTAATTATAACTGTATTTCTTTTTCATTCCAAAATTATTCTAAAAATACTGCTGGGGTGTTTGCTTTTCTTGACGTTTAATACCACAAAACATTGTTTTAGGAGCAATATAACATTATAGTGCCTTTTATATATTGTTTCATGAGCAATATCACTACAGTGCCTATTATATATTTTTTCAGTAACACTATCAATATAAAGTGGCTTTTATACGTTGTTTCAGGAGCATTAGCACCATACCATGATTATATACATTTTCTTCAGGAGCATTATCACTTTACCATAATTTCTTTTATATATTGTTTCAGGAGCAATATCACTATACAGTGCCTTTTGTTGTGTACGGTGCAATGATGGCCAGTGTCGGCACCGTGGGCCTACTCTTCCCAGAGACAATTCGAAAGCCCCTGAAAAACGTTCAGCAGTGTCGGCACCGAAAAATCCCTCTCATGGAGGGAGCTCGACTAGTGGGCCGACCACCAAGTCTGTGGGACGCAGTCTAGCTCACCTACAGCCACACAAACTACAATAATATGTTAGACTTTCTAACCCACCTACAGCAAAACAGACGACATTAATATGTTGGAATCAATCATGGACAAGAAATAACAGCACAACTCTGTATTGCCATAAAATGTATCTAAGAATTTGTGTTTCAAAGATGAAGGATGGTATACTTTAAGGTTTACATTTTCTTCGAGGCTTTCGAAACATGTGACAGCAACATACCTTTTGTTTATCTCTTCTCTAAAAATAGAAATCTTCCAAATTTTTAGATTCAAATGCAAGAAATTTTAATCGAAAGAAAACAAATATCAATTCCAGAATAAAAAAGAAGCTTTTAAAACACAAATGGTTGTAATTATGAATGAAATAGAACCCATTAAAACAAGTATTTTAGCAATAATGTGGAAAAACTATAAATGATTGAGACTTAGCGAATGTTAATTCTCTACTGCTTTTTTTTTTTTGGGTCAACTTTTAACAAGACGAGACTATTGTTTGTAAACTGAATGTCTGTCAACCATCTGTACGTCGATTGGTGTACAAGACTATTGCTGTGAGATGTAAAGCGTTTCGTTGGAAAACAAGACAAGAATTATATGCACTGGATGAAACTATTTATGCGATACGCACAGTGTGGTCAAAATAAGAGCAATTTCTTGATGTTCCTTTACAATATGGAATATTTTTTTGTTTGTTGTTGTTTTTGTTTTTTTTTGCTGTCATCCGTCTGTCACAATGTGACTATGGTGCAGACGGAGTCTACAAGGCCTGGGATAATTATTTTTAGGATTATAATTCGGTTCCCTTCACAGCAAATCGCCTCTCTCTGCGCGGCTGTAAAGCCCGAAGGGAACAACACGTGGACGATTAAGCTTGGCACCAGTGGCGTCGCAGGAGTTGTCGTAACGTTTCGCCTACGGGACTCCATCTCCGAGTTAGGAATTCAGAGTTTCCTTCTCTTAGATGAACTTCCATCCAAGGTGGATGGGTCCCACCCACCAAGGGTGCTGGTAATGTTTGTGCCTGGCAGGGCTTTGGTTGGGGATTGGACAGGTTGATACATTTGAAAATAGGGGAAACATGAGCTGCTATGGGTTTTTTTTTTCTTTTTGATAAAAATAATTCTGCAGACGTTCGGAGAAAATTAATAACATTCATGTTAAAATCCTTGTGGGCTTAACATAAACATACGCTTTACATTTGTGTTAATTATTAACTAGGTGTAACATTTAAATGTTCATTTTTTTACTTTTTTTTCTGGTTTGGGTTTGCAGGGTTTTCATTTTAAATGAAATTGAATGAGACCAAAAGTCCGTAGAAAAACGGGGGGGGGGGTGGGTGGGGGGGTTGGCTACGTTAATATTGAGTAACTGAAACTTCACGTGCCCAACTCTCTTGGATACACCTATACACATTTGAGAACATAAAGTCGCCTATATTGTTTTGCAACTAAGCAGATCTTAATTAATCGAACAACGAAATTGTTGAGACATTTTTGAAGACGTAAACTACAACCAACTTTAACATAACTAGTCATTGTAAAATGTTCAAATATTGGTCTATAAGCAGGCAGACATCTACATTCGAGTTTGTTCATACGAAACTACACAAAAAAGGGTAATTAATATGCCGTTAGTTTTGAAGAGATAGGGCCTGTAGATTAAAACCATTAATTAGGCTAGATGAATAAATTGAAACGATACATATTATATTTAACAATGAAAAATAATCTGTTAAGATTTGTTTGTACATAAACCATTATTATATTTGTCATGTGATTGTGTTCTAATAATTAGGAGTTAAGATAAAGAAGAGCATTTTGTGTTGAATATTTTGATTCTAATAAACTTACGATATTTTTTGCTTTGTCTACAACACCTCTTATTGCTATGACCGATTGTTGAGAACGCCCGTCTATGTCACACGATTTGATGTAATAGACACAGTTTTTCCAATCCATATCTCACGATTTGAGCTAATATACACTGTTTCCTAATTTTTCATGATTTGAGATAATGGACAATGTTTTTTTCAAATCAATATATCATGATTTGAGCTAATAGACACTGTTTTTTTCAAATCGATATCTCATGATTTGAGCTAATAGACACTGTTTTTAAATTTTTCATGATTTGAGCTAACAGACACCGTTTTTTTTTCAAATCAATATCTCATTTGATCTAACAGACACTGTTTTTTCAAATCAATATCTCATGATTTGAGCTAATAGACAATGTTTTTTCAAATCAATATCTGATGATTTGAGCTAATAGATGCTGTTTATTCAAATCAATTTCTCATGATTTTGGGTTATAGACACTTATTTTCAAATCTGTAACTTAAATTATATTAGTAAAATGAGATAATAGACATTTTTTTTAATGTGGATTGACACTGTTTTTCATTTGCATTGACACTGTTTTTTCCAACCAACATTTAAAACAATTTCATTTGAATAAACGATGCGTTTTACATGTTTTTTAAAAGATGTTTTAATTATAAGAATGTTTTGATGAAGTTGATCAGATTATTGCCAGATGTATTAATGTGAAGAGCAACGTTTTCCGCACTTACATAATGTATTATACCAGCTGACATCGCAATTAGGGCATATAACGGCATAGACTCCATTTTCTTTCTTAGCAGTTTCATTTCCAGCGAATCAATGGCCTTTTCTAAATCATTTTTGATAATTGTCTGCATCCTTCACACGGGAAAAGATCAGATGGAGACCCCAAAAGAATGACCAAAAGAAATAAACAACACTTGATCCATCAAGAAAACAAATAAACAACACTTGATCCATCAAGAAAACAAATAAAGAACACTTGATCAATCAAGAAAACAAATAAACAACACTTGATCAATCAAGAAAACAAATAAGCAACACTGTCTCAATCAAGAAAACAAATAACACTTAATCAATCAAGATTGCTTTTTATTAATTTTGTCCATGTTTTATTAACATTTTTCAGAATGAAAAGTTTGAGACAGTTGCATTTCAAATTGGTTGCTGTTCAGGAAAGTGTTCAAAATGGCATACATTGTTGACTGAGACATTAGGCAGAGGGATACAAGACAGAGAAATAAAACCAAGCCACCGCAAACTAACATAAATAAATATTAAAATACACTTTTTCTTTCAACAAAAAAAAAAAACAAACCAAAAAAAAAACAATTTTTTTAGTGACGACTTGAAATGCACTAAAAATCAGAAACCTCTTCTAAATTTCTTTTTGCACCAAGAAAGTAAGAAAAGTGTACAAAATGGCATACATTGTTGACTGAGACATTAGGCAGAGGGATACAAGAAAGAGAAATAAAACCAAGCCACCGCAAACTAACATAAATAAATATTAAAATACACTTTTTCTTTCAACAAAAAAAAAAAACAAAACAAAAAAAAAACAATTTTTTTAGTGACGACTTGAAATGCACTAAAAATCAGAAACCTCTTCTAAATTTCTTTTTGCACCAAGAAAGTCTGCGCAAAATGTTGGTCATGCTCGCCATAGGAAACGCATATGTGGGTTGTTGTTTGTTTGTTTTTTTTTTACATTATTTTCTGCTCAGACTTTCATTGCGTAATGCATTTTAAGAGGATCAAAAACCTTGTAAATGCTTTAAACTCGTATTGAAAAGAATTTTTTTTTTTAAAATGTATTTTTTTTTATCCTTTAAGTAACAAAATTTTAATCTGTAAATTATCGACAAATGAAGATTTAAATGAAAAATCAAATCAAATGTTTTCAAAATGCCGTTTAAAGTGACTTAACTCGTTACCTAGGCATAAAACTAAAAAAAAAAAAAAAAAAATAAATATAATGACTGCGGTGTCTTACACGCCTGGTCGCTTGCCGTCTGCTGATCCACGTCTTATTGCCGAAATTATCTGCCCCTACCCAACCACGTCGCCAGAATCATTCAGTTAATATCGATGGTTATGGGACTTAAAGGGGAGTTGTTGTTGCTTTTTTAATCCCCTTTTCTTTGGTCCCCATCACTCACCACCCCAACCCTCCTGTCTCGACCCAGGTAACCAATCTGTTTCAGTGACCTTTACGGGTCAACTCACGCTAGACTTGATCGATCCTGGTGAGATGGTCCCTTGAGATAAC